CCATGCCCGATCCCGCTCCCCTGGACCCAGCACCCGCCTGTACCTGGCTGGTGAAGAGCACCAGGATGGTGTAACGCCCGGCGCCAGCCCGTACCTGGTTGGCGAAGAGCACCATGATGGTGTACCGCCCGGCGCCTGGCGGCGTGTACTTCACTGTGAATGTGTCGTTGTCATTCTTGATGATGTCGAATTCGATGTCGGCCTCCAGCGGCCCCACCACGCCTGGGGCACACTTGATCCCAATGCTCACGTCCCCTGCAACACAGCCGGGGCAGCCCCGTCACAGGGGAGCCAGACCAGCCGCAGGGGGGGCTGGCATGCAGGGTGCTGGTCGTGGGGAGCGTGGCCGGCTGAGCCCCAGGGCAGGGGGACTGGCACGCAGTGGGGGCCGGGTAACAGAGGGGGACTTGCTCTCTAGCCCTGGGGGAGGGCGAGGAGGCTGGAGGACACAAGCAGCCCCCATTGCCCCCTAGGCCTGCCCAGGGCCGGTGTAACCACTAGGGGAACTAGGCGGCCATCTAGGGTGCCAAGATTTGAGGGCGCCAAAAAGCAGTGCCCCAAATTTTTTGTTTACACTACAGTGGAGTCACATCTTACGCGGGGGTTAGGTTCTAAGGTCAGCGCGTAAGAGGAAAATCGCATATAGTGAAAATCACCATCAAGTACAGTACACACCGTCTACACTAGAACAGGGGTCTTCAACCTACAGCACATGTGCCAAAGGTGGCACGCGAGCTGATTTTTTTTTAAATGGCAGGCTGTGGGTCCCGGCCGCCGCAGAGCCCGTTGCCGGTCTGGGGTTCTGGCCGCCGGCTCCTGCCAGCCGGGGTCCTGGCTGCCGGCCCCGCTCGGCCCCGCTGCCGGCTGAGTGAACGGAACCCCAGGCCGGCAGCGGGCTCAGTGGTGCCAGGACCCGCAGTCTGCCATTAAAAAAAAAAATCAGCTCGCGCGCCACCTTTGGCACACGTGCCGTGGGGGGGGGTGCAAGGTGGAAGTTTCGCCTAGAGCGCAAAATATCCTTGCACCGACCCTGGACCTGCCCCCAGAGACCCTACGTGGGCAAGGGGCAGCTCGCACTCTGTGCCCCATGTAGCCCGCGGTCCCTCGACCAAGCTGCCCAGTCCAGGCCCCACAGACACGGTGGCGTTTGCGCTAGGGGTGTGCCCATCCGGCCAGAGACCGAGCTGAGACCCGTCACACTCACTACACACGTGGGCCCCCGAAAGCTGTGGTGCCCTGAGCAAAGCTAGTGTCCCAAGGGAGGAGCAGGGGACACCCCAGGGCCCCTCGGCCGGCCCTACCTTGCCCGGCCTCGCTGCAGTCCACAGTGAAGTAGGTGGGTTCGTTGGCTTTGAGCCCCGTCTTCTCCACGCCGGGGCCGTACACCTTCACCTTGTCCGGGTGGCTGCCCTCGCCCACGGTCACCTGCCGGGAGCAACGTGCCATGTCCATGGGCTTTGGCTAGCCGGGGGGGCCCTAGCCCCCCACCCCACACCCAGAGGGGGCTGCTCCATCCTTGGCAGGCTGGGCAGGACGCCTGGGTCAGCTCCTTTGGGGCACTGCCAGGAAGGGGGCGGGGTCTCCAAGCCACGTGGGGGCTGGGATCCCCCCTGAATCCAGAGCCCCCTCAGCGCTCTGCCATTGCCTCGGTGCTCCTCTAGGAGCTTGGCGGGGCGCCGCTCAGTCCCCCAGCGGAGGGCCAGCGAGAGGCGGGGTCACTCACCCGGAAGGGGCTCTTGGGGATGTTGACCCCGCCCCAGGAGATGATGATGGTGTGTTTGATGGGCTTGGTGGGCACGTAGACGCAGTGGAAGGTGTTGTCACCGTTGTCCTTGATCTTGATGTCGATGGGGAAGCCCTCGGCGTCCTGCGGGCACAAACGGGAGCTCAGCCACACGGTGGGCACCAGACGGCAAAGGTCACCCCCGCCCCAGGCTGTGCGCCCACCCTGCGGGCCAGAGAGAGCCACCCCTCCTGCTCCCCGGAAGAACCTCTGCTTCTCCCTGTGCACCTGGTACCGCACAGGACGGGGCTCTGGCTGGCAACCTGCTAGTGCCATGTGCTCTGGGGGATTCCTCACATTGGATTGGATTTATGGCCGGTCTAACTCAGATCAGATCATGGGCCCGTCTGGCCTGGCATCCCGCCCGCCACTTCCCACCATGGGCCCGGCATCCCGCCCACCCGCCGTTTCCCACCATGGGCCCGTCTGGCCCGACATCCCGCCTGCCCGCCCGCCGCTTCCCACCATGGGCCCATCCGGCCCGGCATCCCGCCCGCCCGCCGCTTCCCACCGTGGGCCCATCCGGCCCGGCATCCCGCCTGCCTGCTGCTTCACTCCAAGGGCCCAACTGATTTTCCAGTAAAGATTTTATCATTTCATAGTAAAAAATCACAAATGAATCAAACTGTCCCATAGACTGTCTGGATAGACATTCCAGGCTGGAATAATAGGAGTATAGCTGTGGGGATGTGCTACTGACCGCCTGACCAGGGTGGCGACAGGGACTGTGAAATGCTCAGGGAGATTAGAGAAGGTATAAAAATAGAAATCTCAGTAATAATGGGGGATTTCAACTCTCCCCGTATTGACTGGGTACATGTCACCTCGGGATGGGATTCAGAGATAAAGTTTCTTGACACCTTAAATGACTGCTTCTTGGAGCAGCTGGTCCTGGAACCCACCCGAGGAGAGGCAATGCTTGATGTAGTCCTAAGTGGAGCCCAGGATCTGACCCAAGAGGTGAATAGAGCTGGACCGCTTGGTAGTAGCGACCATAGTGTAATGAATTGTAGCATCCCTGTGGGGGGCTGGGGGGTAACACGAAAGAAGCCCACCCAGCCTTTAATTTCAGACCGGGAAGCTACACAAAAACGAGGAAGCAAGTTCAGTGGAAATGAAAAGGTAACCGCCCCCAAAGGGAAATGCCTGCAAGCTGCATGGAAACTATTCAAAAACACCCTAATAGTCACTCCCATTAAACGTAAACCCCAGCTTAAAAAAACCACAGGAAGAGAACCAAAAAAGTGTCACTGTGGCTAAACAGCAGAGTAAAGGTGGCAGAGGCAAAAGCATCCTTCACAAACTGGCAGTTAAATCCTAGTGAGGAAAATAGAAAGGAGCCGAAACTCTGGCACGTCAAGCGGCAGAGTAGAATTCTGAAGGCCAAAAAAGAATGTGAAGAGCAACTAGCCAAAGACTCATAAACTAACAGCAAAACATTTGTTAAGTACATGAGAAGCAGGGAGCCTGTTAAACAACCAGTGGGGCCCCTGGACGATCGAGGTGCTAAACGAGCACTCGAGGCCATTGCGGAGAAACGAAATGAATTCTTTGCATCGATCTTCACTGCAGAGGATGTGAGGGAGATTCCCACACCCGAGCCATGCTTTTTAGGTGACAAATCTGAGGAACTGTCCCAGACTGAGGTGTCAATAGAGGAGGCTTTGGAACAAATTGATAAACTGAACAGCAATAAATCACCAGCACCAGATGGTATCACCCAAGAGTTCTGAAACATGAAATTGCAGAACTACTAACTGCAGTCTGTAACCTAGCATTTAAACCAGCTTCTGTACCAGATGACTGGAGGATAGCGAATGTGACGCCAATTTTCAAAAAGGGCTTCAGAGCTGATCCCGGCTATTACAGGCCGGTAAGCCTGACTTCAGCACTGGGCAGGCTGGAGAGTTAAGGGGGCACAGTGGTCCCACAGTCCCAGGCTGCACCCCGGAGATCCCGTCACATGGGCGGCAAACTAGCAGATGAAATACAATGTTGATAGATGCAAGTACTGCACATTGGAAAACATGATCCCGACTACACAGACAAAACGATGGGGTCTAAATGGGCTGTTACCACTCAAGAAAGATCTTGGAGTCATGGTGGAGAGTTCTCTGCAAACAGCCACTCAATGTGCAGCCGTCAGAACAGTGAACAGAATGTTGGGAATCATCAAGAAAGGGATAGATAATAAGACAGAAAATATCATATTGCCTCTATATAAATCCATGGTACGCCCACACCTTGAATACTGCGTGCAGATGTGGGTCCCCCATCATAAAAAATATATATTAGAAATGAAAAAGTTACAGAAAATGGCAACAAAAATGATTAGGGGTCCGGAACGGCTGCCATATGAGGAGAGATTAATAAGACTGGGACTTTTCAGCTTGGAAAAGAGACGACTGAGGGGGGATATGATTGAGGTCTATAAAATGATGACTGATGCGGAGAAAGTAAAGAAAGAAGTGTTATTTACTCCTTCTCATAAGAGAAGAACTAGGGGTCATCAAATTAAATTAATAGGCAGCAGGTTTAAAACAAGCAAAAGGAAGCTTGTTTTTCTTCACACAACGCACAGTCAACCTGTGGAACTCTTTGCCAGAGGATGTTGTGAAGGCCAAGACTATATAACAGTGTTTAAAAAAGAACTAGATAAGTTCATGGAGGATAGGTCCATCAATGGCTATTAGCCAGGACGGGCAGGGATGGTGTCCCTAGCCTCTGTTTGCCAGAAGCTGGAAATGGGCGACTGGGGATGGATCACTTGATGATTACCTGTTCTGTTCATTCCCTCTGGGGCACCTGGCATTGGCCACTGTCAGCGGACAGGATACGGGGCTGGATCGTTCTTACGTTCATCTAACCCAGTCTCCCAGCCCCCGGCTGCATCAGACCTGACCCTGGGCCCATCTAGCCCGGTCTCCCGGTCTCCAGCAGCGGCCGATGCCGGCAGTGAAATTCCCACAGTGCGCCCCACAGTGCAGCGCAGCCCACAACGCTTTGGTCCTCAGCAGGGACTGGCCCTTGGGCACTGCCCCGGATGCCCTGCCAGGGCTGGTCCCAACGAGGTGCCCCGCGCTGAGACCCCCGCCGGGGCCCCTCCTACCTGGGCGTAGATCTTGAGCTCGGCTTTCCCTGCTCCCCGCGCGTCGATGGTGAACTCCGCCGGCTTGTCCACGATGCAGCCGGTGGGCTCCAGGCCAGGCCCGAAGGCTTTCACCTGCCACGGGAGAGTGGGAGAACTCAGTCTGGCCAAAGTTTTTTAAAATTTCTTCTGTCCCTGTCTCCTGAGACCCCCCCAAGCTGGGTTCCTGGGGGAGGGGACCCCAACACCTGGAATAGCAGGGGGAGAGGGGACAAGCTGGAGTGGGGGAGCAGACAGGCAGCAGAAAGGTCCGGCTGCAGATGACGTGTCATAGGCCCCCTACTGCACAGAGCTAATGGAGAGTCTCCTTCAGCTCAAGTGGCAGGGGCAGGGACTGGGGAGGCCGGGCAGGGCTGGAGGGGCTCTACCTTCTCTGGGAAGTACTCGTTGGTGGCCGGCTTGATGTGTGCGATGAAGGGGCTGTCCTTGATGTCCTCGTCGTCACAGATTACGTGCACGGCGTATTCACCGGGCTCCGTGGGCCAGTAGCGCACGTCGCATGACCCGTCCCCCTTGTCGTCGCACTCGATCTTCGCCTGCGACGGGCCCTCGATGGAGAAGCCTGCGAGGGAGCCGCGGGCCAGCGTCAGCGGCAGGGCCAGGGCTCCCCCCCATGCTGCAGCTGCCCCCCGCGGCCCACGAGGTACCGGGACAATGGCGAACGCTGCCCAGTCCTATCACTTGCTCCCCCGGATCCCTTGCCCCCACTGGGCCCCGCCGCCCGCTCCCCATAGATCCCTCCCTCCCCCCGGGGCCCCGCCGTCCACA